ATATATATATATATATATATATATATATATATATATATATGCATATATAGCACAGAATAGAAAGGAGTTACTTATTTTATTTCTTTAATCTTTTATTGTATACATATAGCAAAAACAAATTAGTTACTCACCAGGAATATGCAGCATAGAACATCAGCAAGAGATAACTAAGCTGAAGACTGACTTGGAAAAGAAAAGTATCTTTTATGAAGAAGAAATATCTAAAAGGGAAGGAATACATGCAAGTGAGATTAAAAATCTGAAGAAGGAGCTGCATGATTCTGAAGGCCAGCAACTTGCTCTCAATAAAGAGATTATGGTTTTAAAAGACAAACTGGAGAAAACCAGAAGAGAAAGGTAAGAATCAAATCATTTTCTCATTCAGCAAGTATCTGCTAAGTATTTGTTGTATGCCAAGTCCTGGGAAACTCAGGCAATGGGTATATCCAAGTCCCTGCAGGGACAGAGTCAGTGCAGCATGGAAAAAAAGAGGCAGAGGAGGGAGAAGGAGGGAAGCAGCACAGGAGAGGTGTAAGAAGGCCTTCGAAGCCTTCCAGCAGGAAGTACATCTTCCCTGGACCTAACGAGGAGCAAGTGAGTGGGGAGTGTCCAGACAGAGGTGGACGAATGACTACGACCCAAAGGAAAGGCAGTGCCGCACATTAGAAAACAAGAGTCGTTTACTGTGGTAGGTACACACACAGAAAAATGGAGTGGTGAGAAATGAAACTAGGAAAAAAACAAAACACAGGCAAATTTGTGAATTAACGTAAGGAAAATTACTTGATACCATTTTGGAATGGTCACTTGCTACCTTGTGGAGGATGATTAGAAGGATCCAGAGGAATCCAGCTGTAACATGAGGTAGTGGTCCAAGATAGTGGACAAGTTGGAAAAAAGTGTGATAGATTCAGAAATTGTACTGAGAAGACAGAATCTGCAGGACAGAAGGGAGCTGCTACAAGAAAAGAGAGCAGGAGGACTTATCAGAAACACTCAGCTTCTAGGATTCAGGTAGCTGAGTAGACTATTGGCATGCATTCTGTGTTATTTTTATCAGAAGCCCACGTTTTTGCCATTTGGTGCATTCTTGACAAATGCAAAGTACTGTTCAATGCACTATGGTATGGCAGTGAACAGACTGAACAAAAGTCTGTTCTCATGGAACCTGCCCTCGGAATAAGTGAAGTGTAGAACACATTGTTACATAGTGACCTGTGCTGGGAACAGAAAGGAAGAGGGAAATGGCCGTTAATGGGAAAATTAAATCTGTGCACAGAGGGGAAGAGGAGGTGGTTGGAGGAGATTGTACCTGAGGTGACTTCCCACTGAAGAGGAAATACAGTGTGAACTGTGTGAGAACATTGTACACAGAGGAGAGCCCACCTGTTGAGGAAGTGCTGAGCAGGCCACAGGCCACAGGCCACGAGAGTGTTAAGAGCTCACTGCAGAAGAATGTTAGCTGGTTGGTGCATGTGTAAAGTAGGCTGGCTGCAGGGTGGGAGTGTTATTCTGAGTGTCACTCTCCTGTGGTGTCTAATGGTGTGAGTCTGAATGTGGTCATTGAGTGAATAGCATAGAAGATCCTAGAACTGAGCTCTGGGGCATTCTGGTCTTTAGAAACTGGGTGATGAGGAAGAGCTAGCAAAGTGAATAGAGAGAGAATGATAGGAAGAAAACCAGGCAAGTGTGCTTCTCTGGGACCCTGATCAAGAAAGCATGTCAAACCTGTCAGTGTGTAGGAAAACCTCATATTATGAAAAGAACTACACAGTGGCATTTGCGCTTAGCATCATGTGATTTTGATAATAGCAGTCTCAGTGGAAAAGTGGTCATAGGAGACCTGAAGGAGAGCCCATGGAGTAATACTAGTACTTGAACTTGTTGCTGCCCAAAGTAAACAGTGAAATAGTAGCTGGGGAAGTTTATCTCCAGTTACTTTGCTCTTTGGTGGTGCTGGTGGTAGTGGGGGTGGTGGGGGTGTATGTGTGCTTACTGAGTAGAAATGACATATTTGTAATCTGACAGAAATCAGGCAAGAGATGATTCAGTAGAGTTGGGAGGGAGGTTCTAGATAAATGAAGACATCAGCCTTCCTCAGGCATATGTAGTTTTACCTGTAGAGAAGAAGAGAGTGCAAGTAAATGGGCATAGATGAAGGAAGTCAGTTTGGAAGGCGGGTCTGGTTTTTGTGTTGAATTGGGAGACGTTGGTGTGGGATATGTTAAGACAACAGTTTAAAGCCCCGGCAGGTTCCAAGATCCACTGGTGTAGCAGATAGTAATTGAAGCCAGGTGACATGGTTGAGTACTCAGGGAGAATGTCCGGAGAGTGTGTGAGCATCTGAGGTTTCATTCTGAGGAGCACTGGCATTTGCAGGAAGGCAGAAGAGAAGCTTACAAGGCAGCTGGAAAGAAGCCAGAGACATACCCAGTTCAGTAGAGATGCATTCTGTGGGGAAGGTGAGCAGCACTGCCTGAGGCCGATGGTGGGGTAGCCCTGCTCCAGTGAGCTCACAGAGACTTTTGATTTGTTTACAGGCTGGCAGCAGACCTCAGCTTCTAGTAGTCATTTTAAAATAACAAGACTTAACAGGCATTGGTGGCGCACGCCTTTAATCCCAGCACTTGGGAGGCAGAGGCAGGCGGTCTACAGAGCAAGTGCCAGGATAGGCTCCAAAAAAAAGCTACACAGAGAAACCCTGTCTCAAAAAACCAAAATAATAATAATAATAATAATAATAATAATAATAATAATAATAAAACAAGACTTGCTTTGTTTAGTACTATTAGAAAAAATAATAATAGTTTTATATGGAATTTTACTGTTTATTAGTGAACATACTTTTCTGTAAAGCTTTCTTGCAGTTTTTTTTCTGATTTTGTTTGTTTTCAAAGTTACTTCTGTGCCAGGAAAGATTCCTTAATATAATAACTAAATGTAACATTTGGGGCTTTAAATAATACAGTGACACATTTGGTTGCAGAATGTTTTGTTTTCCTTGAATTTATAATTTAAATTATGATTTATCTTCAGTAGTTGTTATAGGAGATTTTAGGGTCACCCGCTACTTATGCCTTTCATTCACTTGCAAACAATTACATACAATTATCCAGAACTGATCAGCAGTGAATTTCATTTTGTTGCTCACATCTTCTATCAGACTGCCACAGACAAAAGTTTATTTCTCGACATGACAGCATAGTCTTTAGAAACCGCTTTCTGCTTTTCTCTCAGGAGACATTAAGAATGGTTTACTTCTAAACAGTCTTAAGTCAGGCTTGCTCCATAAATATCCTTTAATAATATTATTTGTTGTGCATGTGTGTGTCTAAATGTCAGAGGAGAGAAGGGCTGGAAGTGTTGAGAGGACTACTGACATATAATGGTGATTTTCTACACACATACACACACACAGAGAGAGAGAGAGAGAGAGAGAGAGAGAGAGAGATAGAAAGAGAGAGAGAGAGACAGACACTAGAGATGAGAACAAGTATCATGTGGCTCATATATTCTCTTGCCTGACCTCTTCCTTTAATTATACATCCTAGTGTCTATGTACAATCAAAGTGAACAAATGAGGCTCGAGAGTCTACAAGTCTCAGGCACTTTGCTGTGAGCTCACTGGAGCAGTGCTATCCCACCCAGCTACCTGAGGCAGTGCTGCTGTGAGCCTAGGGTAGCCTTGAACTAATAGAGATCCGCCTGCCTCTGTCTCCTGAGTGCTGGGATTAAAGGTGTGCCACCAGCGCCAGCCTTTATGCTAACTAGTGTGGCTAGCTTTGCTCTCTGATCTTTAGGCAAGCTTTATTTGTTAGATCATAGACAAAATACTACCACATTACCAAATTCTATTTTCCTTATAGACTTACCCGAAATTAATTCACTTACTAATATTTCTTCTCCTGCAACTTGAATATAAACTCCATAAGGAGGGCCTGTTTATAAAACTCACAAGAGTTTATTGTTAGCAAATAGCAGATAATCTAAAATATTTGTTAAATGACTGAATAGGCCAGTCCACTCTTCTTTTGTTTGTTTGTTTTTTTGTTTGTTTGTTTGTTTGAGACAGGGTTTCTCTGTGTATCTGTGGCTGTCCTGGAACTCATTTTGTAGACCAGGCTGGCCTTGAACTCACTGAGATCCATCCGCCTGCCTCTGTGTCCCTGTCCCCCCAAGTGCTGGAATTAAAGGCGTGCTCCACCACACCCAGCTCAGCCCACCTTTCTTACATCATATAAAACAATGATAGAGACTCATTGTATAGCACTGGCTGGCCTGGAATCCACTATGCAGACCTGGCTGCTCTCAAACATCAATATCCCTCTGCCTCCTGAGTCCTGGGACCAAAGGCATGTGCTATCATGCCAGACACATTGTAGATTCTTGGAAAGGTTTTCATGAGACCTGTCCTTCTGTATCACCATACCCCATCTCTGTGTCTGTTCCTATCTATACTAAAGTCTGACTCTTAAGTAGTTGCTATGTAAATGTTACAAAAATATTTTTTTGGTTGACTTTTAATCCAATTCCTTTTTCTGCTTTTCTGTTTTGAATTGTGTTAGTCAAAGTGAAAGGGAAGAATTTGAAAATGAGTTCAAACAACAATATGAACGGGAAAAAATGTTACTAACTGAAGAAAATAAAAAGTTAACAAATGAACTTGATAAGGTGAGTGATTCAATCTCACTTGGTCAATTTACATGCTGGGTGTCATGCACTGTGGTTTCAATCATGATTGTCTCTTGTATTTGTTGTGTGTTATTTAAGGTGTCATTGTTTGCATGACCAGGTTTTGTTACACCATTTGTGTCGGACTCTGTTTTGCTTCCCCCCTTCATTTTGCCTCCCGTGCGCCTCCCCAACACCACCTTCTTTGAGAGTGTGTCTCTTGTAGCCCAGACTAGCTTTGAACTTGTTAAGTATATTATCTATTTTAACTTATTTTCTCTGTTCTTTTGGACTGGTATTCTTTTGTACACAGTTTCCTTTTGGTGTTTTTTTAATGACCTTTATTTTTATTTTATGTGTATGGACATTTTGTCAGCCTGTATTCTGTACATCAGATGCACACAGTGCTGGTAGAGTCCAAAAGAGGGGGTCATATCCCCTGGGTCACAATGGCGCCTGCTCTTCAGAGGATCTATCTGGGTTTGATTCCCAGCACCCACATGGTGACTCAAAACCATTTTTGTCTGTGCTTGTAATTCTTTACAAGATTTGTTAAAAGTTAACATAGCAATTGCAGAAAACAGGAGCAGGAGGGATAAGAAGAAAGAGTGGATGTTACCTGCAGAATTGGTTGTTTTTTTTTTTTTTCAATTAAATGAAGAATATTCACAACTAGAACCAATTTCATGCAGGGTGTGAGGAAAAGCAAAGGAAGCAGGAAAATTCAAAGTGCTCATTATAACCAAATCCTGTCTTGAGTGTGATGTGGGACAATAAAAAAACAAACATTTTTAGTGGAAGATTATGCATTATTAGATAGAACAACGGGATTGTTAAGCCCTGTTCCTAAAAGCTACTCATGCCTTCACACTGCCTTCCAGCTGACTGCCTTGTATGAGAGCTTAAGTTTACGCAACCAGCACTTAGAGGAAGAGGTCAAAGATCTAGCAGACAAGAAAGAATCCGTTGCCCACTGGGAAGCCCAAATCACAGAAATAATCCAGTGGTGAGTGTTCTTCCAGATGTGCTGCTGTGGGTGGCATGGGCTGTGGCTGAGTTGGTGTGGACACTGAGAAGTTCCTAACACCCTTCATCTTGGTTTGCCATGGAGAGTGAGTTAGGGATTACACTTTATAAGATTGGGAAAGGCGAACCTTTGAGGAACTAAGAATCTCATCCACTTGCTTTGGTATTCTTTTCTAAGATCAAAGCTGAGTGTTTATGATTATCTTTAGCAACTGAGAGCCTGAGAAAAATGTAGAAGCTGAACAAATGCTGTGTTTGTAAGTATAACATGTCAGTTCAGGCATGGGGTTTTTAAGTGATTGTGACTTAGCTTCACAAACTATTTCCTCTGCTCTCAGCACTGATTTTGATTATTTGACCTATAAATTTTGTCATCTTAGTTCACCGAATGCTTGCTACCATGCTTATGAAATTTGCATATTTTATACCTTGTGGAGAAAGCAGAATCCACTGAAGTCTTATTTCCTAATAACTTTTGTATTTTATTTACATCTTTACCCATTTTAACTTTTATGTCAGAATAGCTGGTTCCTTTATGTACCTATAAACCTGTTAATTATTTATTGAGGATTTTTATTTACTATTACTATTTTTTATTTTAATCAGTTTTCTATTTTCTAATACCCTTCTTAAATCAAAAGTGAATAAAATGTATTTTAAGTAACTTTCCTCTAATAACCCAAATATATCTATATTGACTTGACTGTAGAGCTCTTCTGGTAACTAATGCATACAGACATGCCCAGATTGTGGACATTTGCTGTGTTACAAAAAAATATAATTGTTAATTCATTGATGTTTAATTTATGACTACATCATTGGGTTTACATTTCTAAAGAGAACCATTTTAACATTTAGCCAAATTTATCATGGAGCTGAATAGAAAAAAAAAAAGAGCTGAAAATTGTTTTATAAACTGATTTTTTTCCCCAAAAACATGTGTGATCCTAGACCACCACTGTGTTTTACAGTGACTAGGAGAATGGGAAGTGATCCTGATGAAGGAAGGAATCTTTACTTATTCATTCAGTAACTCATTCACTCATTTTTTAAGACAGTTTTCGCCATGTACTCAAGGCTGACCTCAAATTGTTGGTCTTCCAGAAGAAAAAAGTGTGAAATCATCTAAACACGGTAGTGAAATAACTGCCAACTTCAGATGATAATATAAAGTATTGTGAAGAAACATAAATAATAGACTTAAATGTGAGCATTATGGAACATTTATTTTATTGGCTCATGATTCAGTTTTAAATAACTAGAAATTTCAACAGCAGGAAATGGGGGTGTTTGGGGGGGGGTGGTGGTGTGGTGTGGTGGGGGGTGGGGGGGGGGGGGGGGGGGGGGGTGGGGGCGCATGTGTGTATAGGTGTAGGCTAGAGGTCAACTTTGGGTTTCCTCTTAAGTCACTGTACCTTTAATGTGTAATTTAACAAATTTTCTATCTAAAAACTGGTTTTTATCAGTTGCATAACCTTAAGATGTTAAATAGAAATTGTACTTGAACTTCATTAAAAGTTATCCTTTATTCTTTCATTTTTATTTAATTAATACTTTTAGAAAACAGGAATTTTTTTCTTTTTCCTCTATTTTTTTACTTGAATTAGAAACAAGATTGTTTTATATGTCAATCTCAATTCCCTCTTCCTCACCTCCTCCCCTGCTCCCACCCCCCACTAACACCCTACCAATCCCATATCCTTTCTGCTCCCCAGGGAGGGTGAGGCCTTCCATAGGGGGTCTTCAGAGTCTGTCATATCCTTTGAGATAGGGGCTAGGCTGCCTCTCCCCCCCCCCCCCCCCGTGTGTCTAGGCTCATGGAGCATCCCTCTATGTGGGATGGGCTCCCAAAGTCCATTCCTATGCTAGGGATAAGTACTGATCTACTACAAGGGGCCCAATAGATTTCCGAGGTCTTCTCACTGACACCCACGTTCATGGGATCTGGATTAGTCCCATGCTGGTTTCCCAGCTATCAGTCTTGGGGCCAAGAGTTCCTTCCCCCTTGTTCAGGTCAGCTGTTTCTGTGGGTTTCACCAGCCTGGATCTTGACTCCTTTGCTCATCACTCCTCCTCTGCAACTGGATTCCAGTTCAATTCAGTGTTTAGCTGTGGGTGTCTGCTTCTACTTCCACCAGCTGCTGGATGAAGGCTATACGATGGCATATGAATTAGTTATCAATCTCATTATCAGGAGAGGTCATTTAAGGTAGCCTCTCCTCTGTTGCTTAGATTGTTAGTTGGTGTCATCCTTATAGATCTCCAGACATTTCCCTAGTGCCAGATTTCTCTTTAAACCTATAATGGCTCCCTCTGTTATGGTATCTCTAATCTTGCTCTCTTTTATTCTTCCCCCAGCTCAACCTTCCTGTTCCCTCATGTCCTTCTCTCCTTCCTCTTCTTCCCTTCTCATTCTCCTAGCTCCCTCTCCCCTCCCCCATGCTCCCAATTTGCTCAAGAGATCTTGTCCCTTTCCCCTTCTCCGGGGACCATGTATGTCTCTCTTAGGGTCCTCCTTGTTTCCTAGCTTCCCTGGCAGTGTGGATTGTAGGCTGGTAATCCTTTGCTCTATGTCTAAAATCCATGAGTACACATGAGTGCATACCACGTTTGTCTTTTTGTGACTGGGTTACCTTGCTCAGGATGGTTTCTTCTAGTTCCATCCATTTGCCTGTGAATTTCAAGATTCCATTGTTTTGTTTTGTTTTGTTTTTTTCTGCTGAGTACTCCATTGTGTAAATGTGCCACATTTTCTCTATCCATTCTTCAGTTGAAGGGCATCTAGGTTGCTTCCAGGTTCTGGCTATTACAAATAATGCTGCTATGAACATGGTTGAGCAGATGTCCTTGTTGTATGAACTTGCTTCTTTTGGGTATATGCCTAAGAGTGGAATTGCTGGATCTTGTAGTAGACTGATTCCCATTTTCCTGAGGAATCTCCATACTGATTTCCAAAGTGACTGTACAGAGTTTGCACTCCAACCAGCAGTGGAGGAGTGTTCCCCTTTCTCCACATCCTCTGCAGCATAAACTGTCATTGGTGTTTTTGATTTTAGCCATTCTGACAGGAGTAAGATGGTTTTGAGTTGCATTTCCCTGATGGCTAAGGATCTTGAACACTTTCTTATGTGTCTTGTTAAAGCATTGTAGATGGAGTTTCTTTTCCACCTGGTCCTGCTGCCTTTCAGCCACAAATAAACATAGAGAGGTGTATTATTTATAAACTGCTTGGCCAATGGCTTAAGCTTCTTACTGGCTAGCTCACTCTTAATTACTAACCCATAAGTATTAATCTATGTGATTCTACATGGCCTCTCTCTGGCATCCTCTCCCCAGAATTCTCCTCTCCTAGCCCCACCTATACTTCCTGCCTGGATACTGGCCAATCAGTGTTTTATTCGTCAACCAATAATAGAAACATATACACAGAAGAACATCCTCCATCATAGCATAACCCTGATTTCTGTAAAACATCATACTTTAAATTTTCTAAGTTCAGTATACATCAGCTTTAAAGAAAGTATGCGTGTTTTGTGAGATAAAATGTCAGAATCTAGATAATGAGAAATCATAGTAGTCTTCAGAAAATCCAGTGTAAGATCTAAAGAGTTAACATTTGTGGTTCAAGGGTGACTTAATAATTTATCAAATGTAAGCAACTTGGGGTTTCCTAATTACTGCCAGCTTCCATTTATACATAACTGAATAATTAACAAATCTGTTCCCAGCTTTTGACAGGTAGCAGTGATGTGGTCATCCTTTTAAGGGATTCTTTAAGGATATAAGTTTTTGGTACTTAGTTCTTAATAAAGCTTTAAATTACATACACTACTGAAGTTTTTATGTGTTTTACTTTGTACTTCATCTTGTGTGTGTGTGTGTGTGTTCTAGGGTGAGTGATGAAAAGGATGCACGAGGCTATCTTCAGGCCTTAGCTTCTAAAATGACTGAAGAATTGGAAGCGTTAAGGAATTCCAGCTTGGGGACACGAGCAACAGTAAGCTCTGACATTTCACCTGGAAGCTTACCTGGTTAGGAAGCAGAAAGCACATAAAAAATTTAACTGTACCAGTTTTCCCAGGCTTTCACTTGCTGTAAAAGTTTTCATGATCAGTAGTTTAGGTCTTTTCCAGTTTAAGAAAATAAAAATGTCACTGTTAGCTGTTATTTTATAGCTATCCATACTGAAGGAGCTGAAAAGAAAAGCCAATTACTGCTGTTCATCTATACATATTTACTGTTATTTCTTGATTTATTGAAAAATGTATTGTCATAAATTATATGCCAGTTCCATTCATTTTCAGTGATATTGCTCATAATGTAGCTTTTAGACTCATTTGCATTATGGAACTTAAATAAATGTTAAGAATAAAGTAGAAAGGAACTAAGACATAATCATTTTACTCTATAGGATATGCCCTGGAAAATGCGTCGTTTTGCAAAACTGGACATGTCAGCTAGACTAGAGTTACAGTCAGCTCTAGATGCAGAAATAAGAGCTAAGCAGGCCATCCAGGAAGAGCTGAATAAGGTTAAAGCATCTAACATCATCACAGAATGGTAAGGACCAATAATTTAGTCTTATTACAGTAGTTTATAGGTTTGTTGAAAAGTATTTGGAAAGAAGTTACATGTTTAGCTGCCTACCTGCCATTTTGGTTTTGTTTTTTAAACAAAAAGTGATGACCATATGGTTGGGAATACTATTGAGTAATATAGTGCTTGCCTGGCATGCCCAAGACCCTGGATCTGATCTCCAGTTCTGCCTCCCACCAACAAAAGTAATGAACAGGTTTGGGGCAATGAGTCAGTCAGTAAAGTGTGTATCTTGTAAGAGTGAAGACCTAACATTTGATGTCTGATCCCCACCTTAAAAAAACAAAAAGTGGGAGCTATGGCGTGGGCGTGGAGGGGGGAGAATCTCCAGCAGAGGCTCCTCAGACACCTAGCCAGGTCAGTGTGCTCCAAAATCACAAGATATTGTCCCTGAGACTAAGATGAAGAGCTGCTGAGGAAGTCATCTGGTGCTGGCCTCTGCCCTTCACATACCTGCATGCACCCAGACACATACACGCAAAGTGTACACAAATACATACAAAGTGCACATGCGCACACACACACACACATACACACAAGTGCACACAAAGTGTACATGCACAAACACACATATACACACAAAGTGTACATGCACACACATATACATACAAAGTGTACATGCACACACACATATGCATACAAAGTGTCCAGGCACACACACATATACATACAAAGTGTACATGCACACACACACACACAAGTGCACACAAAGTGTACATGCACAAACACACATACACACAAAGTGCAATGCACACACACATACAAATACACACAAAGTGCACACACACACACACATACAAATACACACAAAGTGCATACACACAGAGACACATATGTATATGCTCTGGTTACATGCTCTGGTTATATGAACAAGATCTAGCAGAATTCTAAAATTAACTTTTCTTCCATAATATTGTTAAATTTAATAATTCAGCTCAGGGCCAGCAAACTTTCTCTAAAGGCCCGTGTAGCCTCCTCTGCTCAGCTCTGTGGTCACAGTGCAGCAGCCGCCACCCTGTTGATAAGTTTTTCGGGAGTTAAACCAGTGCTTCATACATGCCAGGCAAGTCCTCTGCTACTAAACTGCATCTTGGACCTGGCAGCCATCTTCTTCACAGAAATAAATGGGTTTGGCTCGCTTTATTAATTTGTGTAATAGCAGGTGACAGGCTGTATTTGTCTTGCATGCAGTAGTTTACTCTCTCCTACTTTAGCCTCACAGACATTTAAACCAAATGAGCTACACAAAATTAATTGACTATTTTCCTTTTCCTACTTATTGAAGTAAACTGAAAGATTCTGAGAAGAAGAACTTGGAACTGCTGTCAGAGATTGAACAGCTGATGAAGGACACGGAAGAGCTTAGATCTGAAAAGGGTATGAGAGTGTGTTTGCATCAGGACCTGTTGTTCTGAATGTCCTTTATTGTGTGAGAGCTAACTTACTGTTGTAAACAGAGAATTCTTTACATTAGTAACCACTCATGCATCCAAACACACACATGTTCACAAATACATACACACGTATGCAGACTGGCTGAGCCTCTATATTAGTTAATATAAATTAGATTAAGAATTTTTAGTTACAGAAGTGACCACTTTGCCATAAATTTGACTGTTATTTCAGTGTTAAAGCTATTTCGTGAGTAACTTTTGAGATTGGGATTGAAGTATTTGTGATGAACTTATGATGCTCTCATGTCAGGTTGTCAGTTCAGCAGTGGTGCTTTGTGTTGACATTAGAACTTAGTGAGGAAACTTGAAAAGGGGAGGTTGTTTTTGAGAGCCTCGCAGAGTAGCCCATGGTGTCCTTGAATTCAGAGTCCTCTTGCCCCTTTCCTTAAGTGCTGGTATTAACATTTATTAACACTTTTTATGTGCCTGAAATGTACAAAATTATACAGGTTCAGGAAGGACAGCTGGGGAAACACTATAAAACAACTAAAAATAACTAATTTAGTATTAATTACTTTAGTAAAGAAGAATTATTTGGGTGTTTGTTGTGTTTTCCAGTTTGATGATTACATTGCTTGTCCTATGTGATTTCCAGATTTTATTAGCATTTTCTTGAGAACTTTCATTTTTCCTTTCACATGGAATTAGCTCAGAGTATGTAATAATCCTACAATTTGAACTTCTTATGCAGCCTTTCCATAATATAAACATTAAGAGGCTGATGATTTAGTAAAAATAAATTCAGGATGTGACTTACTTTAAGGGTCATTTTATATGGGATTATCCAAAATCCATTTTTCTGACAAAGGCTATCATCAATTACTGGATTAATTGATTGTCTTTGTATTTGGCTAAGGCTGCTCTACCATTTCTCATCTCCATACCACAGAGAGTGATAAAGCTGGTTGGGTCTCTATGCCTGCGTATACTTTGGAGAACAGAGTAATCACATAAAGGGACTACAGTACTTGGTTACATTTTTGTGTCATTGTTGATTGACTTTCTTAATGAACCAAAGTGACTAGGGGCCGGGCGTTGGTGGCACACACCTTTAGTCCCAGCACTCAGGAGGCAGAAGTAGACTGATCTCTGTGAGTTTGAGACCACCCTGGTCTACAAGAGCTAGTTCCAGGACAGCCTCCAAAGCCACAAAGAAACCCTGTCTCGAAAAACCAAAAAAAAAAAAAAAAAAAGGAAAAAAAGAGTGACTAGGAACTCACCATAAAAGGATAAGCCAGCCTTCTAAAATGATCTTGCTTGATTTTAATTCATGAACAGTGGAGGAGAGGTATAATAAGGAAGAAAAACAGTATGTAATACATGAGCAGCCACAGTCCCGTCATCTTGGGGTGAAGGGAATACACCTATAATCTCAGCACTGGGAGAGAAAAAGAACAAAATCTGTGGAGTTCACTGACCAGCCATTCTAACCAGATGGTGAGCTCTAGTCTTAGTGATGTTTCAGAAACAAAATGGAACCAAATAAAGCAAAACAACTGACCTCTAACCTCTAAATGCACATATGTGGGCATGCGCACAAATACAGATCAGAGCGCACCTGCCCTGCACAACAACAGGAGACTGGGGGGAGAAACACAAACCAGTTGCTAACTCTTCAGGATAGAAAAGTCATAGTTGTATAATAGGGGCTAGAAAGATGGCTCAGAGTTTGAGAGCACTGGCTGCTTTTCTAGAGAACCCAGGTTTAATCTTCAGCACCCACATGGTGGCCCACAATATTCTAGAACTCCAGTCCCATGGTTCTGATGCCCTCTTCTGGCCCCTCAGGCACTGCATGTATGTGGTGCACAGACATACATGAAGGAAAAACATTCATATACACAAATTTTTTAATTTTAAATTTATGATAGGCTATTTCTGATCTATCTTCCCTAGTATTTATCATCATGGCCGTGTTGTCTTGAGATTATGTATTTAAACTTACTATCATTGCCAAAGATGCATATGCATTTTTAAAAGTCATCTGAGAAAAACTGAATTTTGGATTCTTCATACTTCACTAAGCTAATATCTGAAATGGAAAATTAATTAAGTTTACTTATTTTATCACTGTTATTTATGAAATACATTTTAAAATTTCTGGAAAGATTGTTTTTTAAAAAGTATTTCAAAAGAGGAACCTTGTTTGGGTGGTAAATGAGCTTAGAAAATCACAGATAGACAAGCTTCTAGTTTTTTTTATCAAATTGCCCAAAAGATTCTATTTTATTTTATTATGATGTACTAGATCAGTGGTTCTCAACCTTCCTAAATCTGTGACCCTTTAATACAGTTCCTCAAGTTGTGGTGACTCCCAACCATAAAATTATTTCATTGCTACTTCATAACTATAATTTTGCTTCTGTTATGAATCATGATGTAAATATCTGATGTGTTGGATATCTGATGTACGACCCCTGTGAAAAGATCACTCGACTCCCAAGTGGGTTGCCACCCACATGTTGCAACCACTGTACTAGATGGAAAAAGAATTTTGTTAATTATTGACTCAGAGGACTGTCATGGAAACTAGTCTAATTTAACTGTTGAGTCTAGGAAACACTAATGTATTTTGTTTTTTAACTTCGTAAAGTTAATAAGCCTTGAAACATAGTAGTTTTATTTTTAAGTACTTTAGTAGATTGAGACAGGAAAGGTTATCCATGAAAATTAGTTTTAATTGTTCTACTTTAAAAAAAAAGTTGCTGCTGTCTTCTAGGTATAGAGCACCAAGACTCACAGCATTCTTTCTTGGCATTTTTGAATACGCCTACCGATGCTCTGGATCAATTTGAAGTAAGTGACTGCTCTGAATATCCTCTGGGATCTAAAAGTTACTTGCAGTAAAACTTTTATTACAGCCACATAAGAGAACCTAAAATCATATAAACAAGTGAATAGAATCATGTAAGGGAGGACTGTGTCTGCATTCTTATGGAAAGTATGACCACACTTGTACGTAATAAAAACATCTAAGAAAGTCTGAAACCCAAGTTGTTATTAGACTTAAAAGCAGGTTCAGTTGCTCCCCACCTCCCAAGAAACAGTGAAAGCAGAGCATATCCCAACTTTTGAAAACATTTTCCTTTTCTCCCAGGCTTAGAGGCACAATAAAAATAAGTGAAAACATGAGTGCTCACAGTAGCTCACTATTGGCTTTCATTCCAGATCAGTGAAGAAGTAAGCAGTAAGGATAATGCTTTTTTACTAAAGTGCTAACCTACACTCTTGTTAGCTGTACTCTGAAATAGTGATTGCGTATCTCTTTATCATTCTTTATTATTTAAACATTCTGCTGAAAAAAACTCAGTATAATGTCAAAGCATGGTTTATGTCAGGAAATGTAAGTTATTGGTTATCACCTTTTTCAGCAGTTGGAAACCAGAATCTATGTGGAATGCTCTGAACTCCGCTTTTAGTGCTGGTAATAGGGCTGTGAGCAGAGTAGACAAAGTTCCCTTTCAAACCGCTTACATTCCAGCAAGAAGAATTAGAAACAGAGATTCTGATAACCTATTTCAGTTGTTATTTCAAAAGTGTACCGTTAATTTAATAATCAGTCATTTGTCATTTTATTACTTTGTGTATAGTAACAGAATTTCCTTCCTTTGGGGGAAGGAAGAATAATTCTTTGAAAAGTAACCTAAGTTCCTTGACAACAGTGACAGTGACTGCTTTTCTCATTTATTTATTTAAACAAATGTCATTTGCCTTTCAATTGTTTTACAAAATTTTGATTTATTATTTGTTTGTATTAAATTGCTTCATCCATATTTTCTATTTTTTTATTGCTGAATTCGTTAAATAGGATTCCTTTTCTTCTTCCTCATCCTCACTGATTGATTTTTTGGATGACGTAAGTCTTTAATTTTCAAACCAATGCATCCTTCAGTAAAAGAGATCAGTGAATTGATTTGAAGAATTTGCCTAATAATGCAGTTTTAGAAATATCACTTGGAAATTTATGCGAGCCAAATGCATCCTTCTTATCTTAAATATTATAGTTTATTATTATCAAATGTAGTAAAATAAACACTTTTAAAACTGCTTTGGCCTTTGGCGATTCTCTGTGTTTTCCATTCTTTGCTTAAATATTGTCACTATGTATAAGAAATTGTTCATTTTCATTTTTCATGGTTTCTGTTCTACTTTCTCCTTTTCTTTTTAGCATCTTCCTGTTTCTGTGTTGGTTTAAAATAATTCTGTGGTGGAGAAATCAAGAAAGTGACATTTCTTGGTTAAACTCATTGTTTTGTTGTAACACAGTAAGAATATAAATGAATTTTTAATACAGATTTCTGATGTGGAAAATGATTTTAAATTATCATATGTACTGTATACCCCATAAATTGGATGCATTAGCATATTCTGTCTGAATTAGTTATGTAGATTTAATAATTTAGAAGTTCCTAATAAGTGTGTGAGACATTTGTTTTCTACCTACACTGCCTGTTATATTTGTTTTCTGTTTCACATTAGATGACTCAGTAATCCTTGACCTAGAATTGATACCCTGTTGAACATGAATACTTTACAGAAATTAAAAGATAAAAGAGTTTAAATGCAAATAGTGTACATAAGTATTTTTAAATGATAGGAAATGGATTAAATGTTGTCTTCAGAATATTTTGTTAAAGTACAATATTATATTCAGAAGATGATTTCAGCATAATTTTCCACTGAAAAAAATTCTTGATACTATATTTTCAAATTACTGAACAACATAGAAACTTTTTAGTATGTTTGGAAATACCAAAACCTGTTTCCCTCCCAACATGGAAATCTTTGTTGTTGTTTCTAAAATAGTAAACTATGCTGGATGATTCTATAATATAACTGAAAGATAACTGACTTTAAAAAAAAAAAAAGTGAAATTCCATGTTGTGGTCTGCTGTTTGGTGTGTTAAAACAATGTGATATTTTTATTATTCACATTAGAAAGGATGAAGAGAAAGTTTGAGTAATTACATAGTTATTTTTACTGATAGACTATTTTCACTATTTCTTAAACTCTTGCCTCCATCCTTTTCTTTCCCATAAACACTCAGATTGTAAAATCTAACAGTATGTATTTCACCAAACAAATGAGCTCTTCTCCATAGAGATCTGTGAAGAGTGTCCCCTTGCCAGGCTCCTACTCTCAGAGTTTTTCTTCCTTTTTTATGTACGGAAATTGCATCCAAGTCACAGCCATTTCCCAGCCTTACTCTCCCCTCTCTGATCCTTCAGTCCCTGTTATGCAGCATAAGCTCATCTTGAACACTGAGCTGGGTTTTACATAGTGCGGAGAAACTCCTAGCACACAGTGAAGAGCTGAGTGCAAAAAGCTGCTGAGTCTTTGCTTCATGTCTCAACGTTTCCAAGGCATGATGTTGCTGTTCCTTCTGTCCTTCCATTGTTCTGGTAAAGCTCAAAAACTGGCTATTCCACTTTCTAGCATGGAGTTTGAAGGAAATTACCTGACCTTCAATACCTATGTTTGCTCATCTGACAAATAGTTATGCTATAGTACTACTCTCATGAATATTTAAAGAAATCATACAATGCCTTCAGGGATTTCAGGACATTTCCTTACTAGGTTGTTTCTCCTCTCTTCATATACTCTTTAGAGTTATTTCTTGTCTGCCAGTGTGACTTCACTTCAGTGCTTAGCTTTCCTCTTGCTAAGAACATGAACCACAGTACCTTCTTTGGAATTGTCGAATCTCATGACTATTAGAAAATGTTTTTTTTTTTTCTCTATTAGAGGGAGGGCTAGCACTAAGCTCCCATTTTAAAAAATCTTATTCTTAATTTATAGTTTATAATATAACCCTATTTTTGTTTATTGTTTATAACTATGACCTTGTTTTCCAATGTTAGCCATTGGTTCATTTTATCATTCAAAGTCATAGTAAAACTATGTTTCAATAGTAGCATCAAATCTTTGATATATTCATGTTCCACATCCAAGATACTGTAAAACCCAAGTTCAGTAGCTCCCACTGTTAGGCATTTAGAACATTTAAGGAATAATTGAGTCTAGATTATATTTTGTTTTATATCTGGTTATATTGTATGTCTTGCTTATAGTGTATGATTTGCCCCGCATGAGGTAGGTTCTGGTGCTTAACTAACCCCAAATCCCATCCCTCTGGTTATCCTCTTCCATCTTCTGTTACCGCTATAGACGAGAATGCTGAATAACTAACCCTAACTGCGGTTCAGCCTGGCGTGTTTAGGAGAAAAAAGGCTTGTGTTAAGCACGATTGCCAGTTTAATTTGGTGTTGTGTCTACATATCGTCCATCCTCTCCACACAGGCCCACTGTTACCTTCAGGGCTCTCAGTTTGATTACTTACAGGTCCTCTCCTCCAAATTTTCCTTCTGCTCTTCTCCTACTTTTATTCTTTAAGTTGGGCCTATTAAAACTATCATTTCATTATTTAGAACAACACAGAATCATTTTCCCATTCATGATTTTTCCTGAGTTTGTTTTGTCTCTTTTCTATATTCTGACAAATAGAAAAATGCATTATGTCAGCAGGCAGAGTTTAAGCATAAACTTTAGCCTCATTTAAAATCTTAATGAGATGCTCAGAATATCAATCTAAGTTGTGGTTCCTCCCTTCACTAGTGTCTTGATTTTACCATTGTTCTCACCCACACACAGTCTCTTTTACATTCTCTCTTAGCCAATCTCAAGGTGAAGATGTAATCAGGGTGGACAGTTTAGAACTATGTTTTTGTTTTGTGTATTGTCTTTGCTGATGAGTCCTAATTTAGCTCTTAACATTTTAAAAGCCACCTTTGAAAAGAGCAGGGAGTCGGTAGGTAAATGTATAAAGCAAATTTGCTTAATTATATATTACATGGGTGATTTGTGGAAAGGGCTGCTAGAGCTCAAATAAGTTATTTTATGGCAAACAGTAACAAAACTAAGTAGATCTGTTGCTGAAATTCTTTATTTCCTTGATGGAATGTTGGTGTGTGTGGATCAGTGAGTGTGCCAATGAAAACCTCATCCATCAACCCTTAGACTACATGTCTCCTTACTGTTTTTATCCTACAGTTTTTCCTGGATATATGTGTACTTGAATGTATCAAAACAGTGGCTTTGTGCATAAGTCTGTATGCTGTGTGTTGATATGGAGGGCCTGGCTCCTTCCCTGTGAATATGTGTAACGTGGTGTTCTCTCTCTGTTGAAGCGCTCCCCGTCCTGTACTCCAGCTAGCAAAGGCAGACGTGTAAGAGACTCTCACTGTGTGCTGTCCCAATGCCTTCTGCCTGTCCCTTGTTCTTTGCCTTTGGCTGCAGAACCCATGAGCATGTGCCGTGTGCTGTGTGTCATTTCACCACTGCATGCATGTGCTGCTGCTTTTGCTACTGCTCCTTTCCTAACTGGGTTTCTCTTTTTCTTTCCATTTTGGCTTTGGCCACAGAGCTCTAGGAATGTTCTTCATGTAAATTTATACAACTGAGCCACTAAAATAGTAAGATACCTTCTAAAAGTATGCTTTCTAAATTATTCAAATACAAGATAAATGAGCTTCTCAGAGAATCTGATAGAAGCAAAGATGTAGAATGCTGAGGCAATTTGTAGATGTCATTGACTAGATTTTACATAGATCACTTCTGGAGAAATTGTGAGGTAGATGTGCTCATTTAATGCATGTTAGGAGAATTTCCCTAAATATCTTTCATAGTATAGACTTAGGAAAATAATGTTAATAATGAAGTCTTTGTATTCTAAGAAGATGTCAAGATTTAAAAGTGCTCTTTCCATGCATTATTAATGCTGAAAACATCTTCCTCT